TTCCTTTTATTGATTTCCTCAAAGAACCAGTTTTGGGATTATTGATTTTTCTCTCCTGGGTTTCTGTTTTTTTAAATTCCATTGATTTCTACTTTACTCCTTATTATTTCTTTTCTTATGCTTGCTTTGGGTTTACTTTGCCCTTTTTTCCTAGTTTCTTAAGGTAGAAGTTGATGTCATTGATATAAGATCCTTATACAGGGATTTAGTGCTATAAATTTCCCCTTAAGTACTGATTTAATGGTATCCCACAAATTCTGATATATTGTGTTTCAATTTTCATTCAGGTAAAAAGTACTTTCTAATATTCCTTTTAATTTTTTCTTTGATCCATGGGTTACCTAGAAATATGTTATTGAATTTCCAAATATCTGACAATTTTCCAGAGAACTTTCGGTTACTGACTTCTAATTTAACCCTATTGTGATCTGAGAGGACTCTTTGTATGACTGAATCCTTTTAAATTTATTATTGTTTTACTGCCCCAAATATGATGTATTTTATGCTTGTGCTACTTCACAATAACCCTCAAGGCCCACTGGGGTGATACAAAGAGCCTATAATGGGAGGCTGCACGCACAGTGGGTCTTACTACAGAAGAGGAACAATGAACTTGGGCTTCATGACTTTTTATAGTAAGCAAAAGCAAGACTTTTCTTTGTTTGGGAGTAGATATCACCTCCTCTGTCAAGGTTGCACATTGCAAATACAACCCTAAGAAATGGCCTGGTCCTAGCATTTTTGGCACACCAGCAAGAATGTACAGGAATATACAGGACTTCAACAAACTCACTGAAATTCTTTTTATTCTTTTGGATTATTTTTTAGTTCTGTCTCATTTTAGATAGTCTCTATTGCTATGCATTTTTTTTCTTTTCTTTTCTTTTTTGAAACAGGGTCTTGCTCTGTCACCTGAGGCTAGAGTGTCATCATAGCTCACTGCAACCTCAAACTCCTGGTCTCAAGCAATCTTCTTGCCTTAGCCTCCTGAGTAGCTGGGACTATAGGTACATGCCCCCATGCCTGGCTAATTTTTCTATTTTTTGTAAAGACAGGGTCTTGCTCTTGCTTAGGCTGGTCTCAAACTCCTGGCTTCAAGCAATTCTCCTGCCTTGGCCTCCCAAAGTGCTAGGATTAAAGGTGTGAGCCACGTCACCCAGCCTACTGGTAGGCTTTCAACTTCACTAATCTTTTCTTCTGCAGTGTCTAATCTTCCCTTAATGCCACTGAGCATATTCTTCATCTCAGACATTTTAGTTTTCATCTTTGGAAATTTTGAGTCTTTTATAAAAAAAAAAATCTTTCATGTTTGTATTTTAGTTTTTGAACATAGGAAATACAATTGTGGTAACTTTAAATATCCTTGTCTGCTAACTCTAACATCTGTGTCAGACCTAGGTCAGTTTCACTTGATTAATATTCTCATTATTATGAGTTGTGTTTTCCTGTCTCTTTGTATGCCTGATAATCTTTGACTGGATGCCAGATATTGTGATTTCTTTTTACCTGGTCGAGTGTTGGATATTTTTTTGTTCTTATAAATATTCTTAAGCTTTGTTTTGTGATGTAGTTATTTGGAAACAGTTTTATCCTTTTGGGTCTTGCTTTCATGATTTGTTGAGCCAATTTAGAGCAGTGCTCAGTCTAGCACTAATAATTCTGTGCTACTAAGGCAAGACCTTCCTAAGCATTCGACCCCAAGCTCTGTAAATTATGAGTTGTTCCAGTCCTGCTGGTGGGAGCAGCCGCCCACCTGGTTCTGCGTGAATGCTGTGCACTGCTTCCTCTAATCCTTTCTGATGGTTCTTTCACAAGCACACTCTGACCAGTACTCTGCTGAATACTGAGATGCGTTGCTGAACATATCCGGAGTTATTTCTCTCTCTGTATGGTTCTCCTGCTCTCTGTCACTCTAGGAATACTATCTGCCTTGTTCTCCCAGATTCTCAGCTTCACCTCCTCAACTCAGGGAGTCTTCTCTGCCTCAATGCTGTGATCTGGAAGCCCTCTCAAGGCTGTAAGCAGAGGAAACCATAGTGCTCATCTCATCTGTTTCCCATCATTAGGATTACTCTTCTTTATGCCTGATGCCCAGTGTCTTGAAAACATGTTGTTTCATATATTTTTTCTTTTTGGGGTTTTTTTTTTTTTTTTTGGCTTGTTTCAGGAGGAAGGATGATTCTAGTTCTCATTATTCCATCTTGAAGTGACAGTTCCCTTACTAATTTCTAGACTTTGGCCATTACTTCTTCAAGTTTTTTTTTTTTTTTTCTGTTCTCCCACTTGAGGGACTCCAATCAACTTGGCTGCTTGAAGGTTTCTCACAGCTCACAGATCCTCTGCTCATTCTGTAAAGTCTTTTCCCCCCTCTATGTTTCACATTAGATTTTTTTCTATTGCTATGCCTTCAAGTTCAAAAACAGTACATAAGTCTTTTCTTATGCAATGTATACTCTGTAAACACATTCAGTGTATATTTTTGATCTCAGACATTGTGGTTTTCATCTCTAGATATTAAATTTGGGTCTTTTTTTTATATATCTTCCATGTCTCTCCTCTAGCTTCTTAAGTATATGGAATACAGTAATAATTATTCTTTTAATGTTCTTTTCTACTAATTCTATCATATGTGCCAATTGTGGATCAGTTTTGACTGATTGTTCTTTTCATTACGTATGATTCACAGTTTCTTGCTTTTTTGCACACCTGGTATTATTTGATAGGTGGCACAAATTGCAAATTTTACCTTATTTGGTATTGAATGTTTTCATATTCCTATAGATATATTTGAGCTTTTTTCTTGGACATGATTAAGTTATTCAGAAACAGTCTGATTCTTTCAGATCTTGGTTTTGAGGTTTGTCAGGCAGGACTAGTACAACATTTAATTAAGAGCTAATATTGCCCCCAGTTCTGAGTACTCTGTGTGATGCTTTGTGAATCATAAGGTTTTGCACTCTGGCTGATGCAAAAAGGAACTTTTCTTGATCCTCTATGAGTTCCAAGAATCATTCCTTCTGTTCCTTTTGGAGTGTCTTTCCTTGGCTTCAGGTAGTTTTTCCCCATGCATTCACTCATCAGATGCCGGGGGACTCGGCAAATCTCTAGGATTCTCTTGCTTTGCAGTTCCATCCTCTCCTGCAATTGGCCTTGCAAACTCTAACACTTTGGTCTCTCTGAGCTCCCACTTTAGAGAGATGACTAAGCTGTACCTGGGTTCCCCTTTATAGCATTGCACCCTGAAAATTTTCTCTAGGCAGTAAGCTGGGGCAATTGTACTTAGGTCATTTATTAATATTTCCTGCCACTCAGGGCTCATTGTCCCTCCTTGCCTGATGACTAATAACTTAAAAGCCTTTGTTTTATATATGTTTTCCCCAGATTTTAGTTGTTTCAGGCAGGATGATAAATCTGGTGCTGTTTATTCCTTCTTTGGAAACTGAAGTCCTCACAGTTAATTTCTGAAGACTAACACTGTAGTACTTTTTGTAATTGTTGATCCAGTTTCTAACAGTTAAAGTGTATTGATAAATGTGTTCAGAGAGTATGCTTTTAATCCAAAATACAAACTTTAAATTTAAAATTTAAATATAAGCAAATTAACTCATTCACTGTTTCCAGGGATACTTCTTCCTTCAACAAATATTTGAGTGCCTACTATGCAGTGGACACACTTCTAGTTGCCAAGGATTACAATGTAGGAGAGACAAAACCCCTGCCCTGGTGGAGTTTACATCCTAGTGACAATGTTTTAAAAAGCCCAGCACAGTGGCTCACCTGCCTGTAATCCCAGGGACTTGGAGGCTGAGGTGGGAGGATGACTGGAGCCCAGGAGCTCTAGGCTGCAGACAGCAATGCACTCCAGCCTAGGTGACAAAGCCAGACCCCATCTCTAAAACAAAACAAAAGGAAAAAGAAAAGAAAAGAAAGAAAGAAAGAAAAGAAAAGAAAAGATAGAAATAAAGAAAAGTAAGTGGTATAAAAAATTCTAAAGAACAAAAATAAATTAAGACATACTTTCAGCTTGAAACATGTCAATAAGTTAGTAGTCCTGAGTCACAATGCTGTAGCATCTGTGGGTAACTTTCATTCAATTCAGATATAAATTGAACTGGAAGCAGGCACCCCTGACCACCAGCTCACATCTGACCGCCTAACGCAGTGTCTGATTTACAATAAATGCTTAGTACATATTTGCATTAAAATTTTCAGCCTCCTCATCCCAGGGGTCCTCGGTTTGCTTCCTTCAGGGCATAACGGAACAGCTACCCAGCATAACCTGGCTGAAAAGAGTAAGTGCAACATGCGGTCCCTAAAGATGGAGATGTTAACACACAGCTGGCGTCTAGTCCTCCATCGTCCGTCGTCCTCTCAGATTTACTACTGGCGGTGACAGCGGACACTTCGTAACGTTGGTTTGGTTCCTGACATTTTAACATGATTGACCCAAGTCCCTTCCCTTGATTTCCCCAGGTGAGAGCAGAGAGGAGAGAAAGAAAAGAGGGGATTCTGTAGGTTTTAAACTTTACGTGTGTGTGTGTGTGTGTGTGTGTGTGTGTGTGTGTGTGTGTGTGAGAGAGAGAGAGAGAGAGAGAGAGAGAGAGAGAGAGATCTCCATTCAGTGACTAGAATATGTGGAAATATGTGGGAAACGTGACTATGCAAAGGATATTTGGACAACTTGGCTGTGTCGGGGGTGGTCGGGACCCCTCCCGTAGGTGTCCCTCCCCCGGCCCGCGTTCACCCACCACTCGGGGCACCGACGGGGGCGCCCGCAGGTCACCGCGGCCGCGAGGCGGAGGGAGCCGCGGGTGGGCGGCGGCGTGGGCCGGCGCGGCTGGCCGCCCTCCGCACGTTCCCTGAGGCCTCCGCACGCGCGCCCCGGCGGTCTCGGTGTCGGGCCAGGGCGGCCGGCAGCCGGCGGAGCCCCAGGCGGCCGCGAGCGCTCGGCGGCGCGGGCGGGCCCGGCGGGCGGGGCGCGGCCGCGGCCACGTGACGCGCGGCGCGGCTATTAAGCGGCGCGCGGCAGCCGCTCGCAGCCCGAGCTGGTGCTTCGCCCCGGACCCAGCGCCCAGGCGTGCCGCCCCGAGAGCAGCCGCGCGAAGGCCTCCGCGCCCGCCCGCCCGCCGCCAGCCCCGCGCCTCCGTCGGCCTGCCCGCCAGTCCGCCCGTCGCCCGAGCCCGCGCGCCCCGCCGCAGCCCCGCCAGCGAGCGCCATGAACCAGATCGAGCCCGGCGTGCAGTACAACTACGTGTACGACGAGGATGAGTACATGATCCAGGAGGAGGAGTGGGACCGCGACCTGCTCCTGGACCCGGCCTGGGAGAAGCAGCAGAGGAAGGTCAGCCGGGGCCCGTGCCGCCGTCGCGGGCCGGCCCGCGCGCGTGTGACTCGGTGGAGGTGGTGTGCGGTCCCGCGAGCCGGCGACCCCGGGCCCCCTTAGGAGGAGCACGTCCGGGGACGGGCAGGACTCCGGGCGTCGTGTGCGTGCGCGCGCGTGTGTGTTGGTAGCGTGAGAGTTACACACCGAAAAATGTTCAGGGGAGAGCAGTACCGTGTAAGTGGGTTTTTGTTTCTCTTACCGTCCTTCGGGAGGCCAGAATCTGAAAGAGCCTCCGGTCTGCTCCTGACCCCTTGAGCCTGTGACCTTGGCCGCAGAGGTCTACCTTCCCGCCCCGTTGTGTCCACTTTCCCCTCGCCTCTCTCTTCCCAAACGAAACAGGTCTGATGAGCACCAGCTTCCTTCCAGTTTTCACAGGGCTGCCTCCTGGAGTCCCCGAAAGTCATTTATTGAATGTTTTGGGTCCCTTAGAGAGGGATGTCGTATGAACGAACACTAGACATTTACTGATAAAGTAATAATTCTTTCACGTTCTATTTATAGTTCATTGAGGTAAGCACACGGGACAGGGACGGAAGAGTCAGCCAGTTTCTAAAAGCTCCCTCCCCGTTTTGGTTGGCACTCTCTGGGGGCCCAATGGAACATTCCACTATTTCAAGGTTTCTTCTTGATCCTCTTGGCTAGAATAAACAGGGGATGCTCACCCCGAAGCCAGATCTCTCCTCTTGTTTGACTGGGCACAGAGCCTGGTTGGGCCAGGCTTGACAACAGAGACCTGCTAACCCAACCTTATGATAACAGGGTCATAGCAAAAGCCAAGCACTCTGTGCTTTTTTTATCCTTTATTTTTATGGGTGTGGGACAAGGTGGATTTCCCTTCTAAGGGCCTGGTTTTAAGTGGATAACCCGTTTTGGCCATAAGTGTGCATGAGAACTGTGGGGTAGTTGCCACTGCAGGTGACTGTATGCTAGAATATGGTGAATAAGGGTATGCTGGTGGAAGACACCTATCCCATACTTCTCTCCCAACAAAATGTTAGCTGGAAAGAGAGGTCTCATGGTTGGATAATTATCAAATAACCAAGCACTATTTTTATATCAGGATGTCTCTTGTCTACGCTCATTCTTAAAGTACCATTTACTATTATTATTTTAAAGCTCTAATTTAGCTACATTTCAATCTCCGCGTTAGTTTCCTGAGGCTTCTACCATACCTACCTTTCTTGGAAACAAGAGAATGGAGGCGATAAATAGAAGTTGAATCTATAAAGGAAAACACAATTTCAAACCTTCTGCAGTGTCTGAAAGGACTTACTGCAAAGGAAGCACATGGCTTGAGGATTACTAATGTATCATCTGGACCAGGTTTTAGTTGATGCATCATCATTCAGCAAGAAGTTAAAAAGTGACTTTAATTTTTAGCAGTGACAGATTTTTAAAAAAAAATTTCCCCAAATTTTGATTACTACATTTTTTATGGATTAAAAAAAAACAAAAACCAAAAAACTCCCAGGTATTTGTTTAAAGATTGCTTTTTTTTTTTCTTATGAGGAATAGTAAAATAGCTAAGGAGTTGGACAGGTAGTCTGCCCATCATTTTTGAGAGTAATAGTCTAATCACAGTGGTTTCTGTTAATTTTTTTTTTTTTGAGACAGAGTCTCACTCTGTTGCCCAGGCTAGAGTGAGTGCTGTGGTGTCAGCCTAGCTCACAGCAACCTCAAACTCCTGGGCTCAAGCAATCCTCCTGCCTCAGCCTCCCGAGTAGCTGGGACTACAGGCATGCGCCACCATGCCCGGCTAATTTTTTTGTATATATATTAGTTGGCCAATTAATTTCTTTGTATTTATAGTAGAGACGGGGTCTCGCTCTTGCTCAGGCTGGTTTCGAACTCCTGACCTTGAGCAATCCGCCCACCTCGGCCTCCCAGAGTGCTAGGATTACAGGCGTGAGCCACTGCGCCCGACCTGGTTTCTGTTAATTTTTAAAAAGTACAGTACAATAGCAGGATGGAACTAATTCAATTTCCAGAGGCCACATTGACATGTCTTCTGCCATATTTAATCTTTTAATGTATTTGCAATATTTTTGGATAAATGACATTGTAATTTTAGGTTTGGGATTCCTGTGCTGACTACATTATTATAATTGTATAGCACTTGAAGTAAAGTATATTATTTTAAAAAGGCATATTTCTTGATCCTAGTTCAAAATAATGCTAACAAGTTTAAAGTGAGAATTGGGGATTTTTTTCCCTTAAGATAGTTTGAATGTTGTCAATGCAAAGGGAACAAAGCCCAAAAGTACATTAGGACACAGACCTGAAAAGATCTGGAAGATTCTCTATTTCTACTTTTGGTATAGAACCTGCTCAAGTCAGTAAAATAATATTGAACTGTGAGCTCAGGGCAGCCGGAGCAGTGGCCTCTATTTATGTCCTATGAGACAAACTGTTGGACCAGGACAAGGATAAAATGCCATTGTTTCTATTGTGGGCTACCTTCTCCACACTTGCCATTTCAGTGATATGCCGGGTATGAGATCTGTCAACAGATGCTGGTAGCACATGATGACGTCTGTAGCGTTATAATGGATGGGGTGCCTAATTATATCTACGGTTCAGAGAGTCTCATGGACTATGGTAATCCTTGCTCTCTGGTGTGGCATGGCCATGCTGCAGAAGGACTTTGTAAAAGTGTAGTGCTTTCTCTAAGAGGAGGTGATCCAGAAGGTAGTCGATTTAGCCTGAGTATAAATAGGCATTTCAAAGTGCTAGAAGTACTTCAATTTTCTATAAAGAAGATTGTGTTTTACTTCATACAGCCCATGGGTTGAAGAAAAACTCCTGCAGTGTTACAGATACTGTATTTTAAAAGGCTGAAATAATGAGGCTCACTCTGGAGCTACAGACTGTTTTACCTTATAGGACACAGTTTAGGGATATCAATTTCCAAGTAACTTGGGTTTGCTTCAGCGGACTGTTGAAACTTCCAGAGCATCGGTGCTAGAAGCAGGTTTCTCCTGGAACCAAGGAACACACTGAGCCTTTACCTCAACGGAAGCCTAATTGGGAGGTGACTTGTCAGAACAGCAATGCTGAAAATGTGTGCTATCTCCACAAGCCCAGGGTGCTGTCCTCAACCATGCCGGGAGGCTAGAACAGGCCTTTTTAAGGAAGTGAAATACACCGTTCAATACCTAAAGGGTCCTTACATCCATAATCTGTATATGGCTAGATGACTGATAAACTCTTCTGAGAGTTCCGATTGGTTTTAATAGTCCCTAAAGAAATCCAAATTCTCCTGCACGCTTCATAGCTTAGATGGCCTGGTTCACCTTGGAGCACCTCCTTTCCATCTGACATTTAGGCTGCTGGGTGGCCACGTCAGGGCAGCCAGCATGGAGGGGTACGTGTGTGTGGGGCAGCTGCCCACAGGGGTCTGGGTTCAGGAGAGAGCCTGGGAGCCTTCGAGTTGTCCTGCTGGTGTTCTGTGGGGAACAGCTGCTGATTAAGGACACAGGTGAAGGCTTTTCCTGCCCAACGAAGCATACTCTTGAGTGAATATTTCCAGAGAGCAAAAGCACTAATTATTTGTTCCATTAAGATGAACAGTTAAGAATAAGCTCATGAGATTTCTCAGGTTCATGAGACCCAGGTGAATCTCAGCTCTGCCTGGTATTCTCTGTTTGATTGCGGTGGACTCACTAGACCTTTCAAGTCTCAATTTCTTCTTCTAGAAAATGGAGATTAATGGCCGTCTTCCTTATCTCATAAGTTTTTGTTTGGATCAAATGGTTAAGCTGATTTATGGTGAAGAGGCTTTATACAGTGTAAAATGATCTGTAAATGTTCAGATGTTATTATTATCTGTGTATAGCAAGTATTTGATGATTTTATTGGGTGGTCTAATAGTAATCAGCACTATGCTGGACTTGTGAGGGTTGATGAAGCATGAGATTTGGTCCTTAGTGACTTTGATGTACCTTTTTTCATTGCAATAAAATACACAATAACATAAAATTTATCATTTTAACCATTTTAAGGGTACAATTCAGTGGTATTACTTATTTTCATATTATTACACAACCATCACCACTATTCATCTCCAGAACTTTTCCATCATCCCTCACTGAAACTCTCTACCCATTAAACACTAGCTTCCCATTCCCCCTTCCCTAGTGTAATTTTAAAGACAGGATTTACACCCTAGAACATTTAGAACTTAAGAAATTGTTGAATAATAAGTGCCAGATGCTTATATAAAGAGTAAAATTTGGGCTGTGCGCGGTGGCTCATGCCTGTAATCCTAGCACTTTGGGAGGCCGAGGCACGAGGATCACTTGAGGCTAGGAGTTTAAGACCAGCCTGAGTAACATAGCAAAAATACATCTCTATAACATAGCGAAAATCATCTATAAAAAATTAAGAAATTAGCAGGTGTAGTGGCATGTGCCTATAGTCCCAGCTCCTCTGGAGGCTGAGACAGGAATATTGCTTGAGCCTAGGAGTTGGAGGTTGCAGTGAGCTGCGATGACATCACTGCACTATAGTCTGGGTGACAGAGTGAGACCCTGTCTCAAAAAAAAAAAAAAAAAAAAAAGAATAAAAATTGTAGAAGGCCAAATAAGGAAAATCATTGTGGGTGAAAAATAATGAGGAAAGTGCTTATAAGGGAGTAGAACTTGAGACTTAATTTGAGTAATAACTGAATATGGGCTGAATGGAGAGAAGAGGGAAGCAGAACATTACTGGCTAGAGAAATAGTGTGAAAACCCGTTGTGCGTGGTTTTTGCGGGGGAGGGAGGAAGGAGTGGTAGGTGTAATACAGTAAGTGTTTACCTACCCTTTTGGCGCCGTGGAAGCATCCTTACATCCAGTATTTCACAGGAACCGTCACTCACCCTCTGATCCAAAGGTGGGGGAACAAGTTCAGAGGAAAGTATAGAAAGAGAAAGTAATCAAAGTAGCCAGACCTGGATTCAGGTCTCCCGAAGCCTAGC